GTTTTGCAATCATTATGAGGTTTAATCTTGATCTTCGATCTTGGAGACCTATAAGGTGAAGAGAACCATTCATTTCTTAGGTCAGCTATTATAATTAAAGGAATGATATGAAACATTATCTTTCAGTTTCCATAATTCTATTCCATCAAATATTTTGTGTAAAAAAAGTATTTAATTCATATTTATTTTATATCTTAAACTTTCCTATCTAGTTTCAATTCAAATCTCTAGACCTTAAGTTTCTAAAACTTCAAATCAACACATGTTTTAGGAGGCACATGAAACAATAAGGAAAGTTTGTATGGGGTGGGGTATACCATCAATGTGCTGTCGATGTGAGCCCCACACCCCACACATTGGTGGGCCCATTGAAACCCAATGGGCCCCCAATATATTAATATTAATTTTTAGATATTAAAACAAATTTTACAAATTTTTAAACATTTTATTTTTCTTTCTGATTAAAATAAATCCATAAAATTCATTTTTTCGTATATAAAAATTATTTTTCAATAAAATAAATACTCAGAGAGGTCCAAACATTCATTTTAATTATTTATGAAATAATTAAGACATTTAAACATATTAAAGAAGGTTTGATTAGAATTGGATTCATAGAGCTAGGATTATGAGAAAAATACTAAGGACTCCATCCTCCGTAGAGACCGCTTTTCACTACACCTTCTCAAACTAACCCAACCCATGACCCACAACCCATCGTAGGGGTTCTTGATTGGACCATATAAGTCAGCCAATGAGTGGAGAGGATATGATCCTTGACCATAGATTATAGGTCCTTCCATGAGGACAGGTCTAGGGCCCATTTCAACACTATTCTCAATGGATCCTTTCAACATAGTCCAGTGCTGTAGGGAGTCATCTCTTCCACATATGTATATGTCACACACACCCATATCCAAAGGGTCGCTTCCAGAAAGTCTATATAGTATACATGCCATGTGATGGTAATGATGAGGATTTGAACCCTTGTCCTCTCAGGTCATCCATCACACAAGGGTCAAATCCATATCCCCTGGCCAACTGTCTTGGGCACGTGTCCAACCTCATCTAGGGATAGCCCTATATTGAAACTCTTATCGGTTACTCTTACATGATGTCTAAGACTACAGGTTTTAGACTTCACATCCAGTCATAGCAGTCAAAACTCATGTGAGGCTTAGGCATTATCAATGCCCTATAGGCCAAGTTGGACCATACACTCACTGGAGTTAATAATTCATTATATATTTTTAGTACATACTCTCATAATGCCTTTAAATGACCACAAAAACTCAACATCCTTATGGCTATTGGAACATGATCGAACACTTGCAATTGAGCAATTGCAAAAAAGGAAAATGACCATTACATATGTGTGTTTATTATGCAAGTTGGTGGTTGGCTCTGGATTTTTGCGCTTGCGCATGGGAAAACCCTTTTCTTAAAATTGTTGTGACTTTTTTAGAGTGGAGAGAAGATGAAAAAAGGTGTGCGTGTGTCGTTTCCTCTCACCCCCCTCCTTTTTGGGTTCACGCACGTGTGCACGTGGAGGTGACCCTAGTGTCCACGAGGATAAGGGTTGGGCAGTGGGTATTGTAATGACCAAGACTTTCCCAGTAAGAGAAAGTGCACACGGCTGTGAGAGAGAAGAAGAGAAAGTGCACACGGTGGTGAGAGAGAAGAAGAAGGGAAAGCGTGCACGACGGTGAGAGAGAGAAGAAGAGAAAGTGCGCACGGTGGAGAGAGAGAGAGAAGAAGAAGAGAGTGCGCACAACGGTGAGAGAGCAGAAGAGAAAGTACACATGACGGTGAGAGAGAAGACGAAGAGAAAGTGCTCACGGGGGTGAAGAGAGAAGAAGAATAGAAAGTACGCACGTCGGTGAAGAGAGAAGAAGAAGAGAAAGTGTGCACGATGGTAGAGAGAGAGAAGAAGAGAGAGACATGCTCGACAGTGAGAAGAAGCAGAAAAGAGTGTCGCTGTGCGCAAAACCGTCGAGCCTGTGCATGACTCATGGATGCCACTTGCCTACTATATGCTACCACAGCTGTCACTTGTCAAACTGCATGTCACTGAACTGCCACATGGCAACCTCAAGCTACTACCTCACACTTTTGGAGTACATAAGCCTCTCTCTCTTTCCCTCATGCCATGTTCTCACTCTTACAAGCCAAAGCACTTAGCATTTGCAGCCCCATTTCTAACCTTTGTTGGAGCCCAAATTGAGGAGCTTGAGGAGTGAGTTGTGAGAGGAAATCTGGGAACACCGTTGCACACACAAGGTAAGTGGGTCAACTATCTTGTAAGTCCTTAAGCATGGATTTAGCATGAATTAAGTATAAGAATGAGCATGAGTAGATGCATGAATAGTGGATGTATGTGTATACTATTATACCATGATTTCTAGCACTTTAGCTTGCCTTTGCATGCCCAAAATGGATATCAAATCTTCTTTGGTTTCCATGGAAACCTGTGATTAAGTGTTTATATGTATCTAATGGTCAATAAGAAGGTTTTATGTTAAGATGTAGCATAATTTAGGATTAATTGTTTGTAATTTTGAATAATGCTACAACTGCACTGTAATTTCCAAGAAGGTTATATGTTTTTATAATCTACTTTTGACTTATCAAATTATGTCCAAATGACCCATAATCACTACTATCAGAAAGATATATGTGTTTACTACATGTTTGAATCTTGCTCAAATTCGTTATGCATGAAGAGTTATGCTTCAAAATGTGCAAGTAGGTCACTGTTGATAGATTTAGTAAAATTGCAGAACTGATGTCTCTATTGTCACGAATTTTGACTGACCATATGGAGTCTGTTTTCTTCTAAATTACTGCCATTTGAAATATCTATGAGTATTCTTGAAATCACATGTTGAACACATTTCGAAATTTTTCATAGATTGAGAGTTATAAAATTATTTACGAAGATATGTCACTGTGAACAGATATCATAAAAATCTAGAACCATTACTTTGGTTGTCATTAACTTTTGAATGCCTAAATGGAGTCCAAATGTTCTCAAACTACCCTTGTTTGAAAAATACATATTTTTACTCGAATTTTGGTTTTGGAAACAGTTCAAAATGCCTAATGGATTGAAAGTTATAACTATGCTAAGTAAGACATGTCACTGTCCCAACTGCACATCAGCTTTCTGATGGGATGCCTACCTTCTAATGAGATTTTAAAGGGCCAAACGAGGTCCACACGCTTTCAAACCACCCCCATTTGAAGGATATGTGTGTCTAGTATAAAATTGGTTTCGAAACCGTTTCTGAATTCTGAATGGATCGAATATTATGACCCCATTTATTACTGGACGTCACTGTCTGAAATTGTAGGAAAATATGATATCATGATATTGAAAATATGATACTGTGATACAGTGCCACTGATTAATGCTGTGATTCTATTACATTGAAACTGTTATATGAGCCATGATCGCTATGCAATGGGTCCTCCATTGGTAGTGGATACTATGATTTCTGTTATGTTGAAACTGTTACATGAGCCATGATCGCTACACAATGGGTGGTCCATTGGTAGTGGATACTGTGATTTCTGTTATATTGAAACCATTGTATGAGCTATGACCGCTACGTAATGAGTCCTCCATTGGTAGTGAATACTGTGATTTCTGCTATATTGAAACTGTTACATGAGCCATGATCGCTACGCAATGGGTCTTCCATTGGTAGTAGATACTGTGATTTCTGTTATATTGAAACTATTATATGTGCCATGACCGCTACGGAATGGGTCCTCCATTGGTAGTGGATACTGTTATATTGAAATTGTTATATGTGCTATGACCACTACGCAATGGGTCCTCCACTGGTAGTTGGGTATACTATATCTCGACGCCTATGATAGGAGTGGAGTCGAGAAGGGACTATAAATGACAGGGAAGGTCACACCCCCCAAATTGTAATGGGCATTATGCATTGGGGCCTCTAATGGTAGCGTAACGCCCTCTCGCCTGAAGGCATAAAGAGAGGGTCATGTCTTGCAAGGCCATAGCCTATCGAAAACCCCAAAGCGCGCTGGGGATTGTGTGCGTGAGTGAGGACATTACGAAATGGGACCTCTATTTGTCATTGTCCTCGCTCCTGAATGAGGGTAGAAGTTCCAAGTTACAGGATTAGCTTAGCCTGATCGATGTGGCTTCTGCTTCGGCAGTAAATAGATCTATTCTGCCTATCTAAATTAGGCATTCTGTATGAACATCTGACTGTAACTGTGATAAGCATAGATGTATTTTCCATCTCAAGAATAATTGATATTCTGATATCTGAATATTACTCCCTTTATACTACAAATATATATTCTGATGCACGATCCTACTCTGTGATGCCAGTTCGATTTTTGATGAATCGTAGACCATGTTATTATGTATATGCAAGTAGGTGGGAATGCAAGGGCATTGATCTACTTACTGGGATTTTAGCTCATTCTTCTTTTTTTTTTCCGTCTGTGTAGAGTGATAACTGACCATTCTTGAGGGGGCAACTAGACAGTGGTGGCAGGCGGCTGAAGCTTGGGACTGATCAAGGAACGTTTTTATAGTAGGTGTCGGGTGGCTGTGCCACAATGTTGTTTTGATGTAATATTGTCTTGTTTTTGTCAGACTGGTAGTGCCAGGGACATAATTGTAAAGGACATTTGGAGATTTTATAGGTACATAATGGTTTTAATTTATGAGGTATTATGTTGCTTGATGAATGAGTTTTTATTTCTTTTGTGGTTTTCTTTAATTCTGTATTTCTAAATGCGTTGAGCCACTCCCACCTGAGTGACGTTCGTGACATTTGGTCGCGATCCCTCACTCTGTCGCCTTCTGAATGGTACGATAGGGGTCAGGGGGCGGGGTCGTGACAATTATGGTATCAGCACAGCCAGGATAGGACTTTTGGCCTAGAGAGCCTTATGAGTGTCTCTTGAATGGTTTTGAATAGGTTAGTAACTGGGTGCTTCGGTTTTAGGTCAAGATGCCGAGGACTCGTGCTAATAATGGGAGCTCCAGTAATGAGAATACCGAGGCCCTCAGTGAATTCTTCAGGACCTTGGGGACTATGACCCAAATGATGAAAGACAGCATGCCGGCCCCTGCTACTCCTGCCCTTGGACTGACTGATAGTGGGTTGATAGAAAGGTTTAAGAGGTTAGCACCTCCGACGTTCTTTGGGCACGAGGGAGTGGAGAAAGCGGAACGGTGGAGGAGAAAAGTGGAGAAAATTTTTGAGGTGTTACACTGTACTGATGGGCAGAAGGTGTTAGGGTAGGAGCCTTCATGTTAGAAGGAGATGCTGAGCACTGGTGGGGCTCAGTGAAGCAATCATAGGAAGGGTCAGGGACTGAAGTGAATTGGGAAAACTTTATGAAAGCATTCAATGAGAAGTACCTCTCTGACTCTATACATGAAAGAAAGGAAGTGAAGTTCATTGAGCTGCAACAAGGAAACCTGTCAGTGGAACAGTATGCAGCCAAGTTTGCTGAGCTGTCAAGATATGCGCCACACATCATCAATACGGAGGCGCGAAAGGTGAATAAATTTGAGCGAGGCCTCAGGCCCGATATAAGGGGAAGGGTGATATCGGCGAACCTCAAGACATTCTCCCCTTTGGTAGAGTTGGCTATGAAGATTAAGAGGGACTGTGAAGAGTCCCGATTCGAGGGAAATAGGAAAATGGGACCAGCCCAGTTTGGGAACCTTGGGAGGAAGACTCGGCCGCCTCCGAGGAAAAGCTTCAAGGGAAGATATAACCAAGGAAATAAGAAGATTCGGAAGACCTTTACAGGTGGCATAAGGAAGAACCAGCGCCCGACGTGCCCATACTGTGGGAAGGACAATCACTATGCGGTTGAGTGTTGAAGAGGGGCAGAAGCGTGCTTCAGATGTGGCAAGCCTGACCACCTGATCCAAGACTGTCCAGTAAAGGGGTCAGGAAACTGATCGAAGGCTCAAGGTCGGGTATTTGCTCTCACCGAATGAGAAGCCAAGGTGTTTGCCTCTGTTAGGAGGTACGCTCTTAGTTTGTGGTATGGAAGCTAAAATTCTAATCGACCCTGGATCTTTGCACTCTTTTGTTGAACCTCACTTTGCGTGCCACATGAATGCTAGACCTACACTTCTCGACTAGACTTTGGTAGTATACATACCTACGGGGGAATCTTTAGAAACTTATATTGTTTATAAGCACTTCAGAGTCTTGCTTGAAGGATGTGTCTTACCTATAGACTTGATACTGTTAGACATTCAAGATTTTGATGCTATTTTGTGCATGGACTGGTTGTCCACGCATTATGATACAGTAAATTGCTATAATAAAATTGTAACCTTTAAACGTCCAAATCAGCCTGAGTTGAACTTTATAGGCATTAAGGATGGCGCCCCTCTACACCTTATTTCGGCCCTTCGAGCTTCTCGCCTGTTGGCCAAAAGATGTGTTGCGTATTTGGCTTATGTAGTAGAGAATCGGGATATTCAGCCAAGTTAGAAGAGATACCAGTGGGGAGGGAATATCCCAAAGTTTTTCTTGAGGAGTGGACCTCTTTGCCTTCAGTCAAGGAGGTAGAATTTGAGATAGATGTGGTTCCAGACACCGTTTCCATCTCTAAAGCCCCTTATAAGATTCCCCCATCTTTGTAAAAAAGAAAGATGGGTCTTTAAGGCTTTGTATAGATTATAGACAACTGAACCAGATCACTTAAAAGAATAAATGCCCCTTCCCTTGAACTGATGACCTTTTTGACCAACTTCAAGGGGCCCAAGTGTTTTCTAAGATGGACCTTAAGTCAAGCTATCATTAACTGTGGGTCAAGGAAGACGATGTCCCTAAAACCGAATTTAGGACCCAGTATGAGCACTATGAATTCTTGGTAATGCCGTTCAAGTTGACCTATGCTCCCTTTGTCTTTATGGATTTGATGAATAGAGTTTTTAGACCCTTTTTAGATGATTTTGTGGTGGTCTTTACAGATGATATTCTGGTATATTCAAGGAACCTGGAAGAGCATGGGCAATCTTAAGAATGGTCCTCCAGACTCTAAAGACAAAGAAGTTGTACGCTAAATTGGGGAAGAGTGAATTTTGGCTTCCGAGCGTGACCTTCCTTGGGCATGTTGTATCTAAGGACGGGGTCACAGTTGACCCTTGTAAAATTAAAGTTGTACTTCAGTGGGGAAGATCGATAAATGTGATTGAGGTCCACAGCTTTTTTGGGACTCGCAAGATATTATAGGCTCTTCGTAGAAGGGTTCTCAAAGATAGCGCTCCCCCTGACTCGCCTAACTCAGAAAGAAGTGAAGTTTGTGTGGACAGATGATTGTGAAATAAGTCTTCAAGAATTGAAAAAGAGACTGACCACCGCTCCGATACTGGCCTTACCCGAAGGGAACCAGGATTTTGTGGTTTATACTGATGCCTTTCATAAAGGGCTTGGATGTGTGCTGATGCAGCGAGGGAAAGTCATAGCGTTGCTTTCAGACAGTTAAAGCCGTATGAACAAAATTACCTAACTCATGATTTGGACCTCACGGATGTAGTGTTTGCCTTGAAAATCTGAAGACATTACCTCTATGGGGCCTACTTTAAGATATTTATAGATCGTAAGAGTCTCAAGTATCTATTTTCTTTGAAGCAACAAAGAAGATGGATGGACCCTACTGAATGATTATGACTATACCATCAAATACCAACCAGGCAAGACCAATGTAGTAGCAGATGTTTTGAGCCGAAAGCCCATGGTATTAATGGCACATCTGATGGTTCGAGAGATGAAACTATTAGAAGATGCAGTGGAGTGGTACCCAACCCTGCCCCTTAGTGATGGGGTAGGAATGACTGCTTGTATGAGGATGGAGCCCCAGCTCTTTCAACAGATTCGAATGGCACAAAAAGAAGATCCCCAACTCATGAAAATCTTAAAAGAAATAAAGCTGGGAAGAAAGGATAATTTCTCTGTGAGTAGTAATGATCTGTTAAGATTTAAAGATATGATAGGGTTTTCGAATGATGAGAGTGTGAATCGGGCTATTTTGGAGGAGGCACACTACCCCCATTATATTGTGCACCCAAAGAGTACTAAGATGTATCAGAACCTGAAGAAGACTTTCTGGTGGAATGATATGAAAAAGAAAGTGGCACAGTTTGTCTCTAAGTGCTTAACGTGTCAACAAGTAAAAGCTAAACATCAGAAACCCGCCGAACTGTTGCAACCGTTGCCCGTGCTAGAGTGGAAATGGTAATACATTACTATAGACTTTGTTTCTTGCTTGCCTAGAACAGGTTCTGGGCATGATAGTATTTAGGTCATTGTGGACCGACTAACTAATGCTGCTCACTTCTTACTGGTTCGCACAACTTATACTTTGAATAAATTGGCCAAGTTATACATTAAATAAATTGTAAGGTTGCATGGAATACCTGTCAGCATCGTGTCCGACAGGGACACTAAATTTACTTCAAGATTCTAAAATAGTCTGCAATCAACTTTGGGGGCATGACTCATTTTTAGTACTGCTTTCCACCCTCAGACTGATGGGTAGTCAAAAATGACTATTCAGACCCTGGAGGATATGTTAAGGGCTTGTGTTACTGATTTCAAAGGAAGCTAGGATAACCATTTGCCTCTGATAGAATTTGCTTATAACAACAGCTTCCAAGCCGGTATTCAAATGGAACCTTTTGCGGCCTTGTATGTGAGGAAGTTTAGATCACCTATCTGTTGGGATAAGGTCGGTGAAAGGAGGCTGTTGGGCCAGAAATTGTTCAAGCAACCTCAGAAAATATTTCCTTGATTCAGGAGAGACTGAAGACTGCTCTGAGTCGCCATAAGAGTTACGTTGATAATCGAAGGAGAGACCTCGAGTTTGAGGTGAGTGATCGAATTTTCTTGAAGGTATCGCCAACTAAGGGTATAATGAGATTCGACAAGAAAGGAAAATTAAGCCCATGATAATCGAAGGAGAGACCTCGAGTTTGGAATATGGCTTATCGACTTGCCCTACCACCTAAGTTGGCGAATATTCATGACGTGTTCCATGTATCACTGTTAAGGAAATACCAGCCTGACCCATCCCATGTTTTGAGTTATAAACCAATTTCGATTAGAGAACACTTGACTTATATTGAACGATCGATTGAAATGCTGGATAGGAGAGTGCAGGTACTATACAATAAAGAAATTCCTCTGGTTCGTGTGTTGTGGCTGTATCCCTCAAAGAAAGAATCGACATGAAATCCGGGATAAGTACCCCCAGTTGTTTGACTAACTACGACACAATCTTGAGGACAAAATCCTATTTAAGGGGGGGATGATGTAACGACCCAGACTTTCCCGGTAAGAAAAGGTGCGCACGATGATGAGAGAGAGAAGAAGAGAAAATGCACATGGTGGTGAGAGAGAAGAAGAAGAGAAAGTATGCACGATGATGAGAGAGAGAAGAAGAGAAAGTGCACACGACGAAGAGAGAAAGAAGAAGAGAAAGTGTGCATGACGGTGGGAGAGAAGAAGAAAAGAAAGTGCGCATGGCAGTGAGAGAGAAGAAGAATAGAAAGTGCACATGGCGGTGAAGAGAGAAGAAGAAGAGAAAGTGCGCACGATGGTGAAGAGAGAAGAAAAAGAAAAAGTTTGCACAGCGGTGAAGAGAGAAGAAGAAGAGAAAGTACGCACGACGGTGAAGAGAGAGAAGAAGAGAAAGTGCGCGTGGTGGTGAGAGAGAGAGAAGAAGTGAGAGAGACGTGCTCGGCAGTGAGAAGAAGCAGAAAAGAGTGCCGCCATGCACAACACTACTGAGCCTGTGCATGACTCATGGATACCACTAGCCTACTGCATGTTGCCACAACTGCCACCTGTCAAACCGCATGTCACCGAACTGCAACATGGCAACCCCAAGCTGCCACCTCACACGTTTGGAGTACATAAGCCTCTCTCTCTTTCCCTCATGCCATGTTCTCACTCTTACAAGCCAAAGCACTTAGCATTTGCAGCCCCCTTTCTAACCTTTGTTAGAGCCCAATTAAGGAACTTGAGGAGTGAGTTGTGGGAGGAAATCTGGGAACACCATTGCACACACAAGGGTAAGTGGGTCAAATATCTTATAGGTCCTTAGGCATGGATTTAGCATGAATTAAGTATAAGAATGAGTATGAGTAGATGCATAAATAGTGGATGTATGTGCACACTGTTATACCATAATTTTCAGCACTTTTGCTTGCATTTGCATGCTCAAAATGAGAATCTCTTTGGTTTCCATGGAAAATCTATGATTAAGTGTTTATATGTATCTAATGGTCAATAAGAAGGTTTTATGTTAATATGTAGCATAATTTGGGATTAATTGGTTGTCATTTTGAATAATGCTACACTGCACTGTAATTTCCACGAAGATTTTATGTTTTCGTAATCTACTTTTGACCTACCAAATGAGGATCCATACGACCTTAAATCACAACCATTAGAAAGATATCTGTGTCTACTCAAATGTTCATGTTTGAATCTTTCTCAAGTTCTTTATGCCTAAAGAGTTATGCTTCAAAATGTACAAGTAGGTCACCGTCGACAGATTTAGTAAAAGTTTAGAACTGATGCCTTTGTTGTCACAAATTTTGACTGACAAAATGGAATCATTTTTGTTCTTAATCACTACCATTTGAAATATCTATGAGTATACTTGAAATCACATGTTGAACACATTTTAAAATTCCTCCTAGATTGCGCGTTATATAGTTATTTGCTAAGATATGTCACTATGGACAGATATCATAAAAATCTAGAACCATTACTTTCGTTACCACGAACTTTTGAATTCCCAAATGGAGTTCAAATATTCTCAAACTGCCCTTATTTGAAAGATACATATTTTTACTAT